CGTGTGTTGACCTTACTATTGTGATTGCTCTTTTATAAATGTTTAGGATTAGCATACTTATGGGGAACAAATCTGAATACTGCATTTTTGTGCCATAGCACATTAACCATGCTTGGCTTTCATGTGTTCAGTTCACTTAAAGACTTCACCTGGATCACAATATAGTTACTAATTTTCTTTAATTTTCCATTTCATTCCTCAGAAATCTCATGGTAACTTTGATCTTTGATACATTTTTTTTTTTTTATTTTGTATAAGAAATGCCATCTATAGCTGTGTCATGTAACTCGATGTATCATATTCCGTTCTTGTTGAAGAAATCATTCCATTTGTATGGTGTGCCATTCATGATCTGATTTTGACTTTGAATTACATTTAGTGAAGGATGTGTAAGTGTTCACCTATTTTAACAGTAGGAACATTGGAGTAAGGATTTTAATCGACTTGTTCAAATCTCTGCTTGTTGTCTCCTTGGCTCTTTTTCTTAGCTTGAGCCAAAGTGTCGTGTTCACACCCTGGCTCCCAGTCTTGCCCTCTTCTAGTGAAACATTACTATAGCTTCTTCTTGCCATTTTTTACTATTTATCTTCACTGGAACAGAGGCCTGTCATTTGAGCTAAGGAGTCAACAACCAACTTAATAGCATGTAACTTTTTCTTCATTTCATTTATTAATGGTAATTTTCTCAAATACTTGACAATTATTTTCTGTATTACTATTTTTGTAAAAATTATTCCAATAAAGGTCCATTTCTTGTCTATTACATACCATGTCTGAAGTTTATTTATGGAAAGGTGTATTGATATTTTTTACTCTGAAGATTTCTTTTTAGCAAAGATTTATTAAATGCACAACACACACAGACCACTGATAACACAACTTAATTTTCTGGTTCATCTTCTACATAAGGACCAACAGAATTATAATGCTCTCCAAGTCGATACAAATATCGATGAAAAGTAACAATCAAAGGCTTCTTTGAAGCAAGGTAAGGTTCTCCAATTGTCATTGGTGGACCTACAGCTTGTATAACTTCAATGGGACACTTAAGTGAGTCAGAAATGGCCCTGAGCTGAAAGAGAACCAGCAGAAAAAGTGATTTGATTACATGTCAATTTAACACATCACAAGGAAACCAAAAGATAACAATGAAATATACCTCAATTTGCCCACCCCAGGCAGTAGTCTTTTCAACTTTTTGACAATAGGCATCAAATTCAGTCTCAGACATTGCATCACCAGTATCCTGGTTGCTCAAGAATGGAAGAAATTCGTCACGATTGTTTCGCAAGTAATCAGCTGTTAGTTTTCTAATCATTTTATAATCCAACATGGCATGCTCACTATCTGTTTCCTTCAGCTGGTGTTCCACAGCGCTATACAGACTGAAATCAAAGAAACAAATGAAATGCAGTACTTGGATAGATGATACATCAATCAGTAAGAAATTACTCTACCAATTTCCATCAGCGACAATTGTGTGAATTGCCAGGCCTCGTTTTTTCAGCTTCTCAACAATGGCTATCATTTCTTTATGTCTCGGTCCAAGCAAATTTAAATCTTCTTGTTCTAAAATACGGGCATCACGATCCTTACTGGCAGCAACTTTTTTCTGCCTCCTTTTTTCTGCTTTTGACACTCGAGCACTAGAGGGGACATTTTCTTCACTGTTTTGTAGCACATTTTCATCTCCTTTTCCTTGGTCATGTTCAGTTTCAATTTTCTGCAAAAAAAAGTGGCTGTGTTTAATTTTTTAATGAAGTAGAAGTTATCTATTGAATTGATTGAGATGTCAATAAAAATAAACATACTTGTGCAGAATTCTTTTTTAGATTGTCCTCTTCTTCTTTATGACGTCGCTCTAAATCAGCCTCAAGGTTAACTATTTCTTCTTGAACTTCCTTTTTCTTCTTTTTGTCCCCTTTTGTTGCAGACTTTTTGAGCCCTTGAATTCTAGCTGGAAAGAAAAAATTGGCATATTGACAATTAAATGCTTGTGAGCTGCAGGTTAGCAGGCAAACAGTTCAACATCAGGTTTACCTTGAAGTTCTTTTCTTTCCTGCTTAAACTTTTTCTCCAGTTCCGCAAGAGCGTCTAACATCTCGCTTTCTTCAGAATTGTCAGCCATTTATGCTTATGTTTCGTCGAGAAACAATTAAAGCTTCAAAAATAAGACTTTCCAGCCGGCAGAAGCTTCATCAGCAGCAGACGCCACAGCTAGCTACAGCTAGGAGAATGAGAAATTTCGATGATTTGGCGCCCTGTGGAGACAGTTGACAACGGGTCCCGCGAGTGTTGATTCGACGAATACGATATTTGTATTTACTTTTCGTATGTTGCGCGTTTTCGTTGAAACATCGTTATTGACAGTGTCATTTAGGAAGAAATTATGATTCAATAACGACGTAAGTATACACAAAGTTACAAAAACTGTCACAAAATATAGGTTTTTTATATGTAGGTTGCAATGCCTAGGTTATGTTCGTAAAAACTAGTTACAAAATTTTATTATTTAACTAATGTTTCTACTGTGTGTTTCTTATTGCTTATTTAACTCAGTTTAATGCACTTTAACGATTTTTTAAACCTTCTATCTTTGTCATCAGAGGACTACAAAGATAATTGTTCCTATTTTTATTACTCTTGTGTGCCGAGAAACAGCTGATTGTATACCCACTTGCCAGAGTTATAAATTTTTTCAAACGCTTTCTAAGTGTTTCTAACTTTTTTTAGAACATTTTGTTGATTGAATTTGAAAAATCTGTAAGTAGTGCTTCCCATTTCAAATGCTAAATGATGAACTTGCCTAATACATCTTAGACAGCTCAAGCTCACACAGCAGATATCTCTGTCATGTTCTTAAGACGGATTAATTGGAGATATTAAGATATGATTGCTTTCAGAGGCCGCAATGCCTCCCTTTTTAATCACGTTTCAGTTTGTTTGTTTTCGTGAAGATAGCATACTCTTCAACAACTCAGGATTGCGAGGGCAGGACATTTTCAGTATTGACCACAGATTTTGAAGGCGGGAAGGAGTTGTCATGATCTTGTTGCAAACCATTGCGACATTCGCAATAATTTTCCAGCAGTGTTTTTCCATCCGTACTCACCAAGAACCAACTGTCCAGTGACAAGAGTCTGTCGGTGTGAGTCGACCCCAAGTTAAAGTGTGACCTTGTCTGTCCACAGGCGATGCCGAACACGACCGAGACGGACATGAGCGCGGCCGAGCCCGGGGCCAGCGTGGCCGCCACCGCCGCCGGCGAGCTCCCCGGGTCCGGATCCGGGGCCGAGAACATGTCGAGCGCGGCGAGCGTCTCGAGCGTCGCGAGCGTCGGGAGCTCCGCCGGGTCGGAGCGGTCGTCGTCGCGTTCGATGCCGCCGCCGTCCAAGCTCCCGGGGCTCGTCAAGGCGACCGTCGCTAAGCCCAAGCCGCCGGGAGCAGCGTCCGGGATCAGGCCGCCGGGCAGCCTGTCGGCGAGCAGCAGCGTGAGCGGCAGCAACACCAGCCTGTCCAGGGTGGGCCGCACGGGCCGCCTCTGCGACGGCCACCCCAAGAAGGATCCCACCCCCTCGCCGGGCACCCCCAGTGAGTATCCGCTCCAAGCGTCTCCCGCTGCCTGTCGTTGTGTGCGGGTGTCGGACCCGGGTTGTACAGTAGTTTAAATGAACTCCTTCGTCGATGAACCAAAGGTTTGTGTCGTTTGCCTGTTGCCGGCTTGCACACGCATTTTTGGATGGCAGCCCAGAGCCCACCCCTTTTGCCTCTGTGCTTTCGCGTGGTGTCGGAGGTCAGGGTCAGAGTCCTTCTTCGACACTACTACTTTTAATGGCCTTGTTGTTGTTCTTCGTCACCCGGGCGACTACGTCCACAACGTCACTCTCGGACGTGCGCGCTGTGCCACTACACGGCCAGCCACGGCCCCGCCCCGTTGGGCGCCGGGCGGGTAGGCAACCCAACGTACTGCGTGGCCTGGCGCGAGGCCGCGCAGACGGCGCTCGCTGCGTCCCCCAACGCCGCCCACCGCCGGGTGAAGTCGATAAACAATAACATGAACCCCAGTCCTTTGCGCAGCTCTTCACTAAATCCACACCACAGTCGTTACTTGTTACAAAACAATAACGACGCAATTTGTGTAAGCGCTTGCTGTGTGTGTCATGAACGTCCACCCTTGTGGTGGAGCTTCAGCTACAACAAGTAGGATTTCAAAAATAAGGAAGTTTCGGGGATGATTCGTAATTTTCCCAGAAAAAATCGTAAAATGTAACTTTTCCAGAAAAAATTGATTGATGTTTACACTGCAATCCGAAGTGTGATACTTTTCACACATTTTCGCGTGATAAAATGTCCTTTGTGATTCCCATGATTTATCACTCCTGGGGGAGTGATGAATTTTTATCACAAATTTTGTGTGATACTTATTGCAAAATAATGCGATGATTCCGGATTTATCGCAAAACGGTGTGATGCACATAGCACAAAACTATGATACCTCGAAGTATCGCTCAAATAAGTGATGGTCATCACAAATATAAGCAATGAATTTAATGTTGTACTTTTTCTGCGATGACTATCACAATAACATCGTGCAATATGTTTATCACAGAAAACGTGCAGTCAGTATCACACTCTGATTTATACAGTGTACCTACCTAGATAAAGATACAAATCTTCCAACAATTTTTTTATAAAATTATTCTTTCTGGAAAAATGAATTCCCAAGCTACAAGTCGGCTGGAGAGAACCGGGTCAAATGTCCCAAGAGTTGCATATCTTTATTTCTTTCATTTTTTTTTTTTATTTCCTCGTGAGCCTGCTGGCGTGGTTCGTGGAATCCACCCGATCAAGCCCCGCTCGCTCGACCCTTTCCGGTGAAATGCAAACATCGTGCGCGGCCGCTTAGACAATTTTCGCCAATCATGTGGGTGGGTCGGGATGAGCCCGTGTCCGGGGCACTGTGCCTCCACGCAGCCCCACGCCACGCTACGCTAGGCCACGCCCTGCCAGCCACATGTGCGAGGCGGCGAGGACCGGATTTGCATTAAGGGTTCCGGGTTCAAAAACCGCGTGCCTGCACGGTAAAAACAACGTCTACTTATTTGTTTTTATTAAGGGAAAAGGGAAAAATTTGAGAAACTCCCATAATTTTGGAAAACTTCTCAGATTTTGAGGAAATCTATAAAAATGTGGATGAATCCCGTATTTTTTGAGGAGCCTTCGAAGGAGTTTTCATGAAACTTGAGGAGCTTAGTTTTCCCTGCTAAAAATCAGACATGGTTTTGGCCTTTGCCGCCGTCTGGCTGCGTAAGCCCGCCCTATTTTACTTCATTTTAAATGCCACTCTTAGTATATCAAGTAGCAAAACATTAGATTTTTCAAAGTCGATTTATTGAAATGTGTTGTGAGCATGGATGGTTTCATGCGGTCCGTGCCAAATGGTTTTGCTCACGCAGTGAGCGCCGCCATCACTACACTTGGCACTGCCCGCTGACTTGGCGAGGGGGTGAAGCAGTGTAGGTATTCGCGCCAGAGTATGTTGTCTCATGAGCGAAAATCGGAGATTTTCAACGAAATTTCTCACACAGCCCCTCTTTTGTTCAGAAAACAGACATTTCTTTTTGCCGTGCAACTTGGCCGAATTTTAATGAAGAGCCTCGTTCCACAGCGCGTGCCCGGGGCACAGTGCCCGTGATCACGCTCGCGACGGCAAAAGCAAGCTCATGAATTTCGGTTTCGCGCACCAACTCCACAGCAAACAAGTAAATATCGAAATAAAAGTAGCATTCTTTTACGAGGTTTTGCAAAGTTATGCTACTAGTTGTTTTTTGTGTGCAATTATTTTTGGTAAAAGTAGAAGAAATAGTTTATTTTTGTCTATAATCTGAGATGATAGTGGTATAGTCAACTTTTCAGATGAGAAAAAAATATGTTTATTTTGATCGGTCTCGCCTAATCGATTGATCAACTCGCTGTGATGAAGGCGCAGAGTGGCTGCGTGAGTGACGCAAAGAGTGACATGGAGTGACGTGTACCTCCCCCCCCCCCCTCTCCTCCCCTTCCCCCTCCTGCTCCTTTCTATGACCCTCTTTGGAGCAGCATTGTTCCTCTGCAGAAGGTGTTACGCGGTCAGCGGGTTAGGGCCGTTCGTCCTGCATAGCAGAGTCAGAGCAGAGGCGTGTACAGCACACCGGCGTGCGGGATTTCACTCGCCTTTCTCAGTTCAATTAATGTGTGCTGCTCTCCTGTATTTTTATCTTTCCTTTTCTTATGGGTACCGTGAAATCAGTTAACCTTACCTTATCACGCGAGAAACCCACCGTCATCCGTACTTAACTATATCTATGCTGAAAATGTTCACATTCAAAAACTTTCTTTTGCGAATTTCCTTTTTTACCTCATTTTTTTACAAACCCTCACTGACCCCCTTTCGCCCCCCCACTTGCGTCCCCCGACCCCCACCTTGACTTTGCCGGGTCCACCCGTCCTCCCTCATATAGCTATTCCGCGGACCGACCTGTTCTGCTGAGGCGACC